CCGGCCGCCCTCCGGCCGCCCTCCGAGGGTCCGGCCGCCCTGACCAGATCTATGGACGCCCCCACACCCTGGTTTCCAGTCAGGGCTGCCGGGCAGGGGAGGGATCTTCGGAGGCTTGATGGCTGCCCGCCAACTTCTGAGGCCTGCTTCCCTCAGAGAGCCGCCCGGTCCGCTGCGTGGTGCAGGGGGCCGCTCTGGTGGTCCAAGACGAGGTGAATACAGCTGCATTCACAGCCTCTTTTGGCCCAGCCTCTTTGCTGAGTGCCTTCGTTTTCTCTGCCTGCTTCCACCGGGGAGCCCTGACGCTGCCCTGAATTGCTGAGCAGTCAAGAGTCAGTTTGGCCGTTGCTGGAGCCCATCTGTTTCCTCCAGCACCTGCTCCCGTGGTGCCTTGGGCTCTGCTGGGCTGCCTCTGCTGTTTTGAACAGGCGGGTGGTGGGGGAGTGCTGTTGGCTTGGCAGGGTGAACCGAGAGTGGTCAGCTCAGAGCCTATCCTGTCCAGCCTTAAAACTACATTTACCTTTTGGTTTAAATAAAATCGGGTGCTACTGTGATCTTTCTTAGCAGATCGGTTTGCAGAAACTTATTATTGAAGGCACTGACACTGCGTATTTATTAAACTATTTTCTCCAGAGTAATACACTTGACATTTATTTGTTTGCATATGTCATTGTGTCAGCTTGAATTTATCTATCTAGCATCAAATATTTTCTCTCTTTTTTTTTTTTTAATAGTATAAATACAATATGCAACTTTAAGTGCTCCTTTGCTAATGTCTGGGTCTGTGGTGTTGCAGAGGAATGCGGGTAGTAGCTCAGATGGAACAGAAGACTCTGATTTCTCTACTGATCCTGAGCATACAGACAGCTCTGAAAGCGATGGCACATCACGACGATCCGCTCGTGTGACCCGGTCCTCAGCCAGACTCAGTCAAAGCTCTCAAGGTAAATGCTTTATTTTCTTAAAGAAGGAAAAGAAAAGCATCCTCTTAAGCAACAAGCGGCTCAATGTACTCCATATTCCTGACCTTTAGAACTTAAAGGTGTGGAGTTTATACCTAAATAAAAATATTTCACTTTTTCATTGGCTATTAATGTACCACAGCAAAAAGCAGTCTTGCATATTGCACAAATGAGGTAATATAATCTAAAGATTACACTGGTGGTGGATGTCAAAACTCGAGTATCCTCTGCTCAAAAAGTAAAGCTGTCTACTTGTTAAAGGAAGTAGGAATCAAACACCGTGATTCTGCTGCCAGCTTTGCCTAATTTTTCTGGGAACTCTAAAAATTTGCTTCCCATCTAGACAGTTATATTGGCACTGGAGCCAAGCTAGAGAGAGGGTGTTTAGAGGTGAAAGTTGTTTTTGTTTTCTTTGTTTGTTTGGGGTTTTCTGTACTGCAAGGGAAGATGTATTTTCATGACTTGCTGACGCTGACCCTACTCTGCAATAAATGTAATTGATGTATTGCCAGTTATTTTGTATGCTTCTGCTTTGGCATCCAGATTGTAAGAGGAAACACTGAATGTGTCCACCTCCTCGTTTTTAGTGTTGGTGTAGTCATTTCTTGGCTGTTAGTTAATAAGCTGCCATCTGGCATCAAGGGGAGGAAATGACAGTAGATAACAACTTCTTTCCATTGCTCCCTGTATACGCTTTGATAAAGAATCTGTTTTGTGACAAATTTTATTGCAGGTACGAAATATACATGCAAGATCACCTGGTAATTAGGCCGTAAAAACAAGAGGAAAGGTGGTTTGGATGTGCATGCGATGCCTGTGATATTCCTAGGTTATGAAAGCATTATTTTCTCGCAAAATAATTGTTTTATAGTCTTATGGGCAATATAGGATCACAAAACCACACGCAGGGTCCCAAATATAGCTCCACACCAGAAGCAGTCTTGCTGTTCCCAAGGGTTGTCTAAACACTGATAGTTCTTATCTAAACTAACGGTTTTTTAGGTTTCCAAATGAGAGCTGGTTTGTAATTGCTAGTTAGTGAAGTAATTAAGTCCAGAGAAAGCTGATCTAATTCCAGGTTCCTCAGTGTTGGTAAAAGTGTCAAAAGATTTAAGCTTAGAAGAACAGAGCATATCTTTGTGATGACACGCAGCGGTGAGCAGTAGGACAGAACTCTGTCGATACCCAGCTATCAGATGTTGGTATTACAGCCTTCAGAGCATGTGTCAGGCCAGTCTCTGACTTAGAGTGGTTATTGTGGGTGTAATTATGGTGTTTCTGTGGAATTAGATTCCAGCCCAGTTCGTAATCCGCCATCGTTTGGAGCAGAAGAGCCTGTCTATTCTACAAGGAGGGTAACCCGCAGCCAACAGCAGCCTACTCCTGTGACTCCAAAGAAATACCCGCTCCGGCAGACTCGCTCATCTGGGTCAGAGACTGAGCAAGTGGTTGACTTTTCTGATAGAGGTACGTGAGGTGTTGAAAGTTTGCAACGTGCTGTTGGAAAGAGTACGTGACTTCGTTCTCTGAGGGCACAGTATAATATCCTGAGGATAGAGGGTTTGAGACAGCTGTCTGGAGTTGCTTTACATATTTTTTTGAAAGCTTTCTTTCAGGCAAATTTGTAACATCTTAATCCTTATTCAGACACTAAAAATGCAGCGGATCACGATGAGTCTCCACCTCGTACCCCCACCGGGAATGCCCCTTCCTCAGAGTCTGATATTGATATCTCCAGTCCAAATGTATCCCATGATGAGAGCATTGCCAAGGACATGTCCATGAAGGATTCTGGAAGTGACCTGTCTCACCGCCCTAAGCGCCGCCGCTTCCATGAAAGCTACAATTTCAACATGAAATGTCCCACTCCTGGTTGTAACTCTTTAGGTAATTTCAGCTCCAGGATTAATCTGTTGGGTTTTGCCTTCCTGCTTGATGTTCAAAGTCCCAGTCAGTTGAGTTATACATCCTAACAATATGCACTTAATTAGGGTCAGAAGTCTTATTGAGAAGTGGGTATAGAGAAGGGATATGAAGCATATCGGCAGGTATATTTTTCCTGGAGGTGTTTTCTGGCTAGGAGTGTTTGGGGGATGATAGGGTAAAGAACAAATTAGGAGCGTGAGCACAGGCGCGGGAGGAAAATGCAGAGCTTGCAGGTAGGGAACTGGTCTCTGCCAGAAGCAGGTTTTCAGCAACAAATTATTGCAGACCCCTAATATACCTGGCTGCTTGCATGGAGTGCAGCTTTCGAGTTAGCATGAAAAAGATTTTCCTTCTGTGTTCTTAAAGCTTGTGCCATGAAGCGTGCTCCTTCTGTCACACTACTGAGCATGCTCCTTGAGAAGCTCCTATGAGGTACCTGCCCATCTAGGATACTTTTTAAACCTCTTTATGATCATACGTTAAAAGTGGGGTTTTTTTCTGATCCTTTGCAGGGCACCTAACCGGAAAACACGAGCGACACTTCTCCATCTCAGGATGCCCACTATATCATAATCTCTCAGCAGATGAGTGCAAGGTAAATGAGTCTTCTGTTTTAACTTTCTTATGTTTTTTTGGAACAAAATGCCAAGACCTGTCATTTGTGAACAGAAAATAGAGTTAATGTGTTTCAGCTGTTGTCTTTAGCTGCAAGACAGCAGCATTTGTGTGTCAAATCATCTGTGAATTACAGTTCAGAAAATTCACCTCACCAAGAAATGGAAAAGATTAAGGCTTTGGTAGTAGTTTCCTGTAGCATTGACGGATGAGTTTTCGCTTCCAGGTGCGAGCACAGAGCCGGGATAAGCAGATTGAGGAGAGAATGCTGGCCCATCGGCAGGATGACAATAACAGGCACGCCACCAGACACCAGGTAGGCAATCTGCGCATAATGGGGTGGCTGCTCAGTTCGAAGTGGAAAAACCTCAGCTTGTGGTTTCCAGCAACAATGATTTTAACTTGATTTCACTTCTTCACTTCTTGGGTAAGCTGTTGTGCTGAGTCCCAACACTCCCCCCATTTGTCATCTCCCATTTGTTCCAGCAAGGGCAATTCATTGTATCCTTTAAGAGAATTTCTGCAGAACTGTAAATTACAATTTTACTCTGACTAAATAGAAAAGAATAAAACCAGGGGAATTACATTTTTCGGTTCATGAGTCTTGGACTTGAGTCAAGATGACTTAATGAGTCGGCTCTGAGCTTGTCCACATGATTAAGCGGTGCCTAAGGAGTGCACCCTGTCTTGTGGGACTGAGGTACGTTGGCAAAGGCAAGCTGCGGTAGGAAGAAATATTTCCTATTTTACATACCTGTGTTGTACCTGCAGTGCCCTCTTATTAGCACAGGATTTGGTTCAGAGGCAACAAACGTCATGAAATGAAAGGCAGGACAGAGGCCCTTTAGAGTGGGAAGGTGAAGAAAACTGTTTGAAGTGGATGAAGCCTCGTGAAGGTTTCCACCTCTGGTTTCTTTCAGGCACCAACAGAGAGACAGCTGCGATACAAAGAGAAAGTAGCTGAGCTCAGGAAGAAGAGGAACTCAGGACTAAGCAAGGAGCAAAAAGAAAAATATATGGTAAAAGCAGTAACTTTATTCTTTCATTCCCTCCTATCTGGAATGAGACCACTAAGCAGGAGTTTGGCTTTCCCAGTCACCCTGCAACATTCTCAGCTAAAAAAGCTGCAAGATCCAACAGCTTAGTAGCAGCAAGACAGCAAAATCTATTATTTTATTGGTCTAGGAGCACAGACAAACCTATGGCAATACTAGGGAACCTCTACTTGAAAACCTGACGAGCGAGTATGACCTTGAGCTTTTCCGAAGAGCGCAAGCACGGGCATCTGAGGACCTGGTGAGACTTCTAACTCGTAGTATATCTCATAGCAAATGTCTTTGTTAGAAACGTGAATGCTTTCTGGGTTTTGTTGTACTTGCGCAGATAGAATCAGTTTGCAAGAAGAGCAGCTACAGCCCAGCCAAGTCAGCAACGTTAGGCTAGGGATAACGCTTAAGTGCCAGTCATTCAGAGGGTTTGCTGAAAGTACAGATGGAGCTAAGCATTTGCAGTCATGAATGCCGCAGTGCCTGCGAGAGGAATAATTAGTAACAGTCCCATTTAAGAGGTGCTTATTTTCAGGGAAAGAATGGACAGCTTCACCTGCTGAAAGAAGTAGCTGGTGACTGTGGAATGGAGTTCAAAACCTTGTACTGCTGAGGCTTCTCTAGGTGTTTTCCAAAGCTACTTTCCATCTCCAGAGATGAACCAAAAGATACTTTGATGCTTACCAGTGACAACTGCATCTGGGATATCTGAGGCGGAGCATTAGGCTCTATCCTCTCCCTGCAGATTAGGAAAGAAGCATGAAGTGGCAAGGAGGTTGCCAGAACAGAAAGAGTAGGATCCTAGTGTTAGCATGCTCCTAAGTGCTGATTCACAAGACATTTTCTGATGAAAGCAGCAGTCAGTAACTGTCCTGCTTGTAGACAGGGCTCAGACTGAGTTTGGTTCAGGAGAGGTCCGTGGGAGGGGTCATTAGACATGGTCACACTGAAAGATGAATTCAGAAGACTTGAAGGAAACAATTTCCTTGAGGGAAATAAATAGGGCCTCCTTTCTCTCTACCTACTTTTTCTTTTTTTTTTTTTTTTTTTTTTTTAAATATTTATCCATTTTTTTCTTTCGCAGGAAAAGTTGCGACTCCAGGGCCAGATCACAGAAGGCAGCAATATGATTAAAACAATCGCTTTCGGCCGCTATGAGCTGGATACCTGGTATCATTCGCCCTACCCAGAGGAGTATGCTCGCCTGGGACGTCTCTACATGTGCGAGTTCTGTCTCAAATATATGAAGAGCCAGACAATACTGCGCAGACACATGGTAAGGGCTAGGGCAGAGCTGATTCCTGAGCTTTCAATCTGATGTCAGCATGCAAACATTTTAAAATGGTACTGTTGGTAGCTCAGTTGCTCGCTTTAGGAGGTGAGAACACTGCGTGTTTCCTGGTATATCCAGTAGCTGTTGTAACCTTTTCCGCCCGTAAAGCGGTAGTGTCACCCTAACTTTTCCTGTCGTAGGCAAAATGTGTTTGGAAACATCCACCCGGTGATGAAATCTACCGCAAAGGCTCCATTTCGGTGTTTGAAGTGGATGGCAAAAAGAACAAGGTAACTAACTGCGATCATGAGGCCAGGCTTGAGTGTGGAGTCTTTCAGATGTGCCGGGCACTGCTTTTCCTGTAGAGAAACAAGATGCAAGTGGCCCTTTCTCCCTCTCATTGCAGAAAGGCTACTAGAGTCTGATCTGTCCGTTCTCGCAATTCTGGCAGTAGTTTTGTCTGCATTTTCTTTATGGTTGTTCCTCAGCCCTGTTGTGCTCCAGCAGTTCCATCTGTTGTCTCGTACTGTGCTGGATCTGTAGCTTTTGGAGATGTGTGTCAAGATCCCTTTCTGAAAGTTAGTGGGGAGATTCTGTGCTTGGCCTCGGCAGATTGCTGCTGCCCATCCCTCATTCCCTGTGAATACTCAGTCAAACTGGGGTTAGAGTGGGAAGCAGCCTAATGTTATTGAGGCTGACCTCCTTAACCCTGAGTTGAAGGGTAGAACATGAATCTGCAACCCCAGGCTCAGTGCTAGGTAGTAGCACCATGCCTGCGCCCTGTCTCTGGTTGTGTCCAGTCTTGAAGGCTTCAGAGGAAAGAACAAAGAAACAAATACAAAAGCTGAATTTTGCGCTGCCGGAAGCTGGGAGGAGTCTTTTCTAGTTACCAGAGATAACCTTGAAGCATGGGATTAATACAATACAGCGCAAGCAAGCAGAGCTCCAACCTTCTGCTCCCTTTTGCTGAGGATGTGATGTTTTGGACATTCAGAGATTGATATCGCGAACGTCAAGTCCCACTCTTAGGAAGCTAGGCTTATCAAGTTTCATCACAAATGGAATTGTTTCCTGGCTCAGCTGCTCTGTTTGAAAGACTGTACGTCATTTCTCAGATGATTCAGAATTATCTTGTCGGTTCCCATGTATGCCTGCTTTTGTCCACTCTTGGGATGTTCCACTGTAAAAAACAGGTGTATCCTATTCTCCTTTTGCTTCTAGATCTATTGTCAAAACCTGTGTCTGCTGGCAAAACTTTTCTTGGACCATAAAACACTCTATTATGATGTTGAACCCTTCCTCTTCTATGTCATGACAGAAGCTGACAACACTGGCTGTCACCTGATAGGATATTTCTCCAAGGTCAGTTGAAAATACATACGTACGCATTACTGCCTCGCTAGAATGAGATTTAGGACGCCAATTATCAGTACTGAATCTCCCCTCCGAGTTTTTGCAGTCTGAGGATTTGTTGCTTTTAGGAACAGATAAAGTTTCAAACCTGATCTATGTGAATTGTTCTTACTGTTTGCTGCAGGGGTTGCAGGTGCTTTGCTGTAGCATCTTTCCTCGTTACTAGCAAAACCCAAATCAGCTCAAATGAACTATTGTTACTAGGAAGCATGGTGGTGTCTTAAATGTAGGCAAAAGTAATGATAAAGAAAATGTAAAGAAACGTAGAGAAAAAACATTAAAATAAGTATTAGTCACCATGATTTTTTTTTTAATAAAGTACTTGAAGGAATAAAAATTCTGAGGTGGAAAAGCTGAGACATAAGTAACTGAAGCAGATCACACAAGTAAGTCACTGGCCAAGCTTAGAGTAGGAGCCGGTTTTCTCGGCTGTTTGCTCAGACATGTCGCCTGCCTAAAAAATAGCCAATCTGTTTGTTTTATCTCTGCTGCACATCAGTGAAATACATTTCCTGGTTGTTCTTACCTCAATACAGAAAAAGCGATTACCCTTCCAGCGATGGTGATATCAGGCAACGCAGTTATCAGTTTAGATATTTCAGTCAGTGAAATTCGATAGGTAGGAAGAATATTCTCCCAAATAAAGTGCAGGAAACTGTATTCCTTAAATCACCCGAGACAAAACTGAGGAAATATCTAAAAAAAAAATGCTCTAAAGAAAAATCTGCGTTGATCCGAGGATAAGTGTGTCTGAGTCTCTTTGTCTGAACGTTTCAATATACACCATGTGCTTATAGTGCTGCTGTTATGTCGCTTTCTTGTTGCACGTAAACCTGGTGGATGACAGAGGTGGTAGTGAGAGTGTTACTGGCTCCTTCTCAGGTACAACTCCATGGGCAGCCATCCTAGGCTTAAAATTGTGCACCGAACACCCAATTGAATGGCTAACAAAGTAAGACACTAAGCCAGGTTGGTAGCTGAAGGATGATCGTGTTACTTGTCGTTAGGCAGGTTTTTCTACTGTTGCTCCTTTCACCTTGTGTTGTATCAGTTGCACAGGCTTGTTGAGTCTGTTGGGATTATGATATACCCATTGTTTGTACAGATCTAGACCTGTTAATCTACCCTCTCTGTTCTTGTTTTTAGGAGAAGAATTCTTTTCTCAACTACAATGTTTCTTGTATCCTGACAATGCCTCAGTATATGAGGCAAGGCTACGGCAAAATGCTCATTGACTTCAGTAAGTAGAGAGAGAGAAATTCTGGAAACATATTCTGTCCAACGTGACAATTTCACCAAGAAATCTAACATGCCTGTGGTGGTGGTTGAGCAGTTTTCATTATAGCTGATTTCTGCATGTGCTGAAGAGGGTAACAGTCAGGAGAGAGTAGTTCAGGAAGGATAAGTAAGTTTTCTTTCCTTTACAGGCTATTTGCTTTCTAAAGTAGAAGAAAAAGTTGGCTCTCCGGAACGCCCTCTGTCTGATTTAGGTCTCATCAGCTACCGTAGTTACTGGAAGGAAGTTCTCCTTCGTTACCTGCATAATTTCCAAGGAAAAGAGATCTCCATAAAAGGTATGTTTTCAAGCTAAATAAGCTTGTAGTGAATTGGTTCAGGAACATACGCATGTGTTTGTGTAGCAGTGCAGTTAGGGGAATATTCCTGTAGTTGGGTACGGCTCCTCTCCAGTCCTGCCAGCATCAAAGAGAAGCCAGCTCGCAGAGTTTTGAAAGTATGTACTGGCTGCTGCTTTTAAAAAAGACATTTTTTAAAAAAGATTCAGCAAAGAACTTTATCCAGCTATAGACTAGAATGTTAATTTTGAAAAGAAAAATGGCTCCACCGAGAGGCTTTCAAATGCTGTGGAAAAATACTAAGACTCTTTGGACTTCTTTTAATAGCATTTTTATGTTTATGGCACCTAGGAGTATGCAGCATTTCATAGAGATATCAAGCTAGTTCTGAAGAAGCGGCTACGTCTTCTTTCAGAGGATTACACCTTATTAACTTGGATCCTAAAATTAGTAGCACTAAATCGTCGTGATGTCTAGGCTGGCTTTCAGTTTGGGGGTGAGCTGGGCTGTTTCTGCTCAGCTCTGCATGGCTTGCATCATAGCCTGTGGGGTCTTCAAGCTATTTGCAAACCGTCAGCCCTCAAGAGCGAAAGGAGCAAAAGCAAGTTGTAGAGCGGCGCTGCGGATAACCAGGGTGGGGAAAGGGTGCAAGTCACGCAGCGACAGTAGTACTGCATCTGCCTTCTTTAATATCCGCAAGGCATTTTGTGTATATCACTTCAAAAGGAGTTGCATAAAAGTTGTAGTTGAAAACTAACAATTAGAGGCTATTGCGGAGGAATTTGTTTCTGTTCTAACATAAACTGATACTGATTTGCAGAAATCAGCCAGGAGACTGCAGTAAACCCTGTCGACATCGTTAGCACGTTGCAGGCGCTTCAGATGCTCAAGTACTGGAAGGGAAAACACCTGGTCCTGAAAAGACAGGTAAGATTTGTGATGGCTATTTCTGCGTTTTTGTTTCCCTCTATTTAGCTGTTAGATTCATATGAACTTGCTCAAACTGGTATTTCCTGTGCGTTGTGCTGGGGTTTTCAGCCTTTTCGTTCTGGGGGGTGGCACTGTAATTTTCAAATGCCGTAACCGATAAAATACAGCGTGGGCATCCAACCTGATTTGTCAGTAGTGTAGAAATACACGGTATTGACCTTTCTTTCCTGATGTGTGGAATAATGTTGCTCATTGCAAGCGACTTTTTAGGGGAGCAATGGATTGACATTCCCATCATGCTCCTCATCACGCCTGCCCTTCATTGGGCAAATGGATGACATAGAAGTGAACGGAATTAATGGAATCCTGAATGAGTCCTCATTAGATAGAAGTGGTGTATAAATCCCCAAACGTGACAGCTTCTCTCTTGTTTTCCCCTCCCTGAGACTTCGCTTTGTAGCTAAAAGTAGCCTTATCAGTGTGATTGGAAGGGCTTCTAGAAAGCACTGTGGAGGAAATGTTATTTTTGTCACGCTAAGCAGTTAGTAGGCTAGTCGTCTTCAGATCTGTGGACTTGGATGTGTGGTGGTGTACCATGGATAATTTTCCGTCGTGGATCATTTGTTTTAACCTGCCCTTTCATGCTCTTTTCCTTAGGATCTGATTGATGAATGGATAGCCAAAGAGGCAAAAAGATCCAACAGCAATAAGATAATGGATCCCAGCTGTTTGAAATGGACCCCTCCTAAGGGAACTTAACTGTCTCTCACTCCCGAAGCCAGTGAACCCCAGCAGTAGGAAGTACCCTAGGGATCTCTGTCGTATCTGTTGCTGTTGTGATTGGCTGGTACAGTACCCTCCCGAAAGATCAGTTCCCCTTGGTACTGTTCTGGCCCAGATCTTTTGTGCACACCGCAGACGCTAGTTCTGAGGAACTTTATGTTTCGGCCTCAATGAGGTTGCAAGGATTGGATCTGTATAGGACCCAAACGAAGCTCCTAGCAGCACTGGCCCAAGGAGTTCTGATATCTGGTACTGTACCTGTCCAGTCACTGGTCTTACCCTCATGTTCTTATTCCGATGAGGTTGTGTTGTGTCCTATAATCTGGTTGTTTCTTCCTTCAGGTTCCTTGCGTTCTAAGTAATGGAGATGAACTTCTGTGGCTTTTGAACAAGGTCTAATAACGCTTGTTTGGGGAAAGTCTGGTTTTCCAACAAGCTGCAGTTACACTGACTTCAGCATTTTTAACTAGTCCTGCCTGATGGACTGTTCCATTCCACGTATCAAATAGTTTTAGTAAGATAACATGCCACGTCTCTCAGCAGTGTTTTCCATATAATGTAGCAGGTCTTCACCTAGTTAATATTGTACAGTCAGAAGCTTGCATATCTTGTAACCGAGTGGTGTGAGTGTTAGTGTTACCCTGGAGCAGTCGAGGCTAAGTGTGTGAGAACATCACGGTCTGAGATGTTTCATAGAGTTGCTCTTGGTATGTGCTCCTGGAGCTACTACAGTACCACGTCTGTTGGAGAGACCTCTTTGATTATAAGTTACCGGTTTTTCCTGTTTATCTCTTGGGAGTTAGCGGGTTCCTTTACACAGAAACAGCCTGTTCAGTATATTTCACTGGAGATATTTTTCCCAGAGCAGTCTTCCTTGAATTGTAGGTCTTTTGTATTGGAGGGGATTTTTTTTTCCTCTAGACTGAAGAAATTAAAACTTCAGACAGATTTTTGCTCGCCTTGTCCAAACAGCCACAGAAACTCTACAATGCAAATATCGTCAGTTGTTGGATTGCCTACAGTGTACGTCCTGTGCATCAGTGGCAGCTCCAGTTAGCTGTGTGGATGGTTTGCTTCTCTGACAGTGCGTTCTTGTTTGTCTTTGTAAAACAAAAAAGCTTTTACTTCCTCTCTCCCATCAGCACCACCGGAAGAAACTACCGTACAATGGCTTTCAAGTATAACCACTGTCCTTGTGCCACAAGTTTCCTATATGGCTCCAGTGTGATTAAAAGGGGGGACAATCTTGGGGTAGGCGATGGCAGCATCATATAGTGCCGATTTCATTTAAACCTTCCAATGCTTCCATATTGAATGGTGTCTGAAATGAAGCACTTGCAATGTACTGGTAGGTAGGAGCCGTTTCCTGTTAACCACTGACCCATCCTAACGTGGAGAAGTTCTCTATTGCTCTTCTGATGGTTGTCTGCCTCTCTCTGCCTCCTTAAAAAAAAGAAAAAGAAAAAATCATCAGTACATGGTGTATACCTTGTGGGCATTACTGAATTTTGCTGTCTCATGCCCTTTACTCCTGTATTGTAACTAACTACAGATACTCATGAAACTATCCAACAAAGTAGATCTCTTGTGGAGTAGGGAAGAAGGCCATTCTTGTGCAGAAGCTAAACCCTGTTCCCATGATGTGGTAGAATGTGCTATTCTTGTATCTACTTCTCAATAAAGCATGTTCTCTGCTCAAGTTTATGCCTTCTTTTTGGTTTTTTTTCAGTCAGATGCTATTCTGCATCTCCAGTTCAGTGAAGCTGCTGCTTTCTGTTGCAGGGGACTAATTTTGAACCCGTCTTTGTGCCTGGTGTATTAAGGGTTGTGACTAGAGCGGCCTTTACGTTGAACCTTTCGGAAATAGCCTGCATTGTGTATTCACTCTGGAGCTGATTGTGCACGGGAGGCTGCCACGAGGAATACATGGATGTTGCCAGATCCTGGCAACTTAAGTATGTCATGTAAAACCGGGATAGCACCTGTCAACCTGGAGTGAATTGAAGAAGGAAGGAGTTATCCTAAAAGTGATGGCCCTAGATTTTTAGCCTTTCCTTCTGTGTCTCCATGACCAGACCTTCTTGCTTCTTGTACTCTGGGAGGACTTGGGGCAGCAAAGTCTCTGATCTTCAAAAAAAGGTGTTTGAAGTTCAGCACATCTCAAACAGTTTGAGTCTTTGATATAATCTCTGATATAAAATGGTTAATTACACATATCTGCTCCAGCTCCCTCCAGAGATTCTGCTTTTCTACATAACTCACTGGGAGAGAAAAAAGAGTAGGGAATGTTTTTGGACTCTGGGCTCTAAGCTGCGGAGAGGCAAGGGTGCTGTTAAAAGTAAGGCTGACACAGAATCGTAGAATCGTTTAGGTTGGAAAAGACCTTTAAGATCATCAAGTCATGTCAGTGTTCGTGGCCTGGGACTTAATGCTCAGCTTACGAAGAAGGAGAGCAAGCTAATTGAGATGGAATACCCTGGCAGTCTTGTTCTGATGAAGATCAAAATCAAGGACGCTTCCCTGAACAATGTTTGTTTACTCAAGTCACATCAAGGCTCTTCCTAATTCTGTCTGGTTTCCCTTAATAAGGCACTTTTTTAAGCATTTGATTTGGGAGCATTGCTTTTACTCGTTTGAGCACAGTTTTGTACAATACCCGTTGCCTTTTTTTGCCTTCTTTGTTTGTTTGTTTTTTGTTTTTCTTGCAAGTACAGAGAGACGCAGTGTGATTTAGTTTGCAGATAACTAAACAGAGACAAGAGGATAAGGGTTTTATTCCCCACACTGCTCTGCTGTGTGACAGCCACCCCCTCTCTAAGCTTTTGTTTCCCTCCAGTCCTTATTCTGTCAAGTCTGTTTATGTTGTGACTTCTCAGAGGCAGCGCCTGTCTCTCTGTATACGTACAGTTCTTAACTCGATGGGGTCCCACGCTTGACTGAGACCTCTGGGTGCTTTGGTAATGCAAACACTAATTAAGTAGTGAGTCATACAGATAGCCATAAACATCTCTGGGTGACCAAAGGATGAGACACGCTCAGTTTCACCCACAGTTTATTCATAGCAACTGCAAACTTGCAGATGTTACGTTCTGTATGGGCAGTTTGAAGCCCACCTGAAAATTAGGATGCTACCAAAAAGCAGCCGGTGCTTTCAGTAAATTTTCCTAGATTGATGCTTTCTTGCCCTCTTCTTTTCTCATTTTTAAAAAACAAACACTTGCATTTAGCCTTGCCCTAACATTGGAATAGATATTGTATGTAATTTTAAGCACGCTGGTAACCCGACAGAGTTCTTTGCTGTGACAGACCCGAAGAAACCCTAGCGCAAACACAAATTCAGTGCAGACTGAATGAGACCACCTCACCTCTACGTTCCAGAAGCAAGAACTGACTGTGGAACGGAAAGTCATATAAATCAAATCAGATTTTGAATGCCAGTAAAGGTGAACAGCTGGAACAGATACAACCTCGTAAGGAATCTGCTGGTTTTGAAGGCCTCAGGGTATGGGCCCAAAACCAGAGAGGTACCGAAGAACGAGACAGAACCCTAGGTCTTCCAGTGCTCAGTCCTGATGCTTTAACATCAAACTCATCCTTTTTTGCCATGGGCCAACAATGAAGTTTGTTTGGTTTGGATGTCATCTAATGCACTTCTCATAGGTATTTTCCAAAAAGACTGTAATTCAGCAGAGCCAAGGTTAAAAAACCTTTATGCCTCTCTGCTGTCAGTAAATGAGAAATAGCCCTTTGAAAGCTTTACGGGCGCGGTGGTAGCCAGCCTGCGTACTCCTAGAACAGTATTGTTTCCTGTTGAGTTTGTTTCCCAGAGAACTTTCCATGACTTCTGCCCCTTTGCCTAAACTCCAGCTACCCTGTAGCCGTTTTACTGACAGTCCCTCTAGTCTGCAACTTTTTCCCAGTTTACTCTGCTGTTTCTAGCTTTCCAGATGCCATAGTTAAAACAACTGCACTTTCTATTTTAGTCTCCGTATTAAAGTACAGGTGTGGTAGCACAAACTGCAGACAAGTGTAACACGGGCATATGGTTTACAGAGGATTTCACACACACTTCCCTGCTTTGGATCAAGCTTCACTACACACGGTTACTGTATTTCAGGCTGGACGTAGACAAACAGCGTGGGCATATCCTCTGCTCTTGAGCTGGACTCACAACTGTTTCAGCTTTAGGAAGCTGAACTGAAGAGAAGTTAATTGATCTAGTTAGTGCACAACTTGGGTATTTAAGAATCCCCCAAAACCACTCCAGGTTTCTCCATGTAGTTTAAGACTTCATAGCAAGAGGGATTCTTAGCTCTTGTGCCAACTGGTGTAGGAACTGCTTGTCTGGATCAAATCGAAGATCAGTTGAACCCAATAATGTGTCTGACGAGTCAGAGGTTAATGTTCAAAGTTAATGACCGCCTCAGCAATGTATGTCATCATTCATTATGACATCTACATACCACTTTAAAGAAATATCACTCTATAAATTATGTATCTTCCTCAAGTGTTCAATTATGGTTTACCGGTGCATTCTGAAGCCATCCAGGGCCCTGCTTTATCCTCTGCTCATCCCAGTGTATATCAGAGCAGCCTCAGGGCTGCTTTAACAGTATGTCATCCCAAAACTTCCATCAGCCTCGGGAAATGGAGAATAGTTAAACCACACAATACTTCAGCCTTTCCCCAGCCTTGTCCTTGAATCCAGACTCTGGAAGCACAGTGGATATGAAGATCTCAGATGTGCTGAGCCTGACAAAGAACAAGCCCTGCAAAGGGCTCTCTCAGGAGCAGTCACAGATATTAACTGCTCCTCCAGCGTGAGCGAGGCCAGGGCTTTCTCAGAATCTGCCACTGGAAAACGCTCTTTTGACCTCGGACATAGCTAAATTATTTTTTCCTCTGAATTTCCTCAGAAGACAAGGAAAGTAAAGCTGTTCCAGCATGGAAGCTTTCCAAATTGAACTTCTGCCCAAGGCAAGGCAAGTTTTTATAGTTAAAATCCCCAAAATGAGAATTTAGACTGGGGAAGATGACAGACCGTGAACTACTGCCTTCTATGGGGAATGGTCTCGTTTGCTCATCGCACTCTCTGCGCTTTGGAGATCCGGTTTTTGTTAACGAGCAGGTGAGGTCTCCGAGTCCTTTGGGGCCTGCTGTTGCATGCGCTTTCATTTTGCAGGGTGGAAAACTGAGACAAAGGCAGCACGCACAGGGATCCCACTGCCACTGTTCTCTCACCGCCAGCTGCTTAGTCTTAATCCCGCGCTCCATTGTGCTGCCCTCAGTCGTACCAGCGCAGTGTTTATAGGGACCGCGCTGAACCAGATCTCTGACGTGATCCAAACCTCTGCATCTTTCACTCGTTCCGTCCCTGGACCACTTCATTTGGCAGACCACAAGGCCCCTCCTTCTCACAGTTTGTTTCCCAGACTCCTGCAGTGTTGGTACGTAAGAGTTTTCACTGCGATGAGGCAAACTGGTGCTTCTTTTTCTTCACTGAGAAGATCTGCATGCATCTCCAGGCATGGGTCCATCGCTGCTGTTCCTTTCCCCCAGCTGAGCACCGGTAGTTCTGCTGGCTTTTCCTTTTTGATGTAATTGTTTGGGGCAGGATGTGGTCGTGTTGTGGCCACACCAAGGATCTGCAGGGAAGGAATAGGTGGTTGATATTCCTATAAAGAACGCTAGAGGAAAAGAGACAGCAGGGAAGCAGGAAGGAAAGGAAGCTAAATATGTAAAATTACTTCAGTTGTTTCTATTGTGATGGCTGTGTAACTGAGCTT